TGCTCCTTTGGCTCTCATGGTCGATGCATCGAACTTCGCTATAGGTTCGTCTCTCCACCAGATTTGTAATGGAAACTTTGAACCTCTTGGGTTTTTCTCTAAATCCCTTACAACAACTCAAAAAAAATACAGTACCTATGACAGGGAACTCCTGGCTGCATACCTATCTGTGAAGCACTTCCGTTATCTCCTTGAAGGGCGAAGTTTTGTTATATATACAGATCACAAACCTCTATCTTTTGCCTTCAATAAACCCTCTGATACATCTAGTCCAAGGCAATTGCGTCATCTAGACTTCATTGGACAGTTCACTACCGACATAAGGTATCTACCAGGAAAACAAAACATTCCTGCTGATTTCATGTCGAGAATAAGTGCTATTGACCTACCTTCATCTGTATCATTTGAACAAATTTCTCAAACTCGATCTCAAGATGCTGAACTTAAAAACCTGAAATCCTCAAACACAACTTCATTGATATTCAAAAATATTTTACTTCCTAATGGCTCAGAGTTGTGTTGTGACACCAGTACTGGAAGACTACGACCATTTATTCCTCAGCAGTTCAGAAAGCAGTTATTTGACTCCCTTCACAACCTGGCACATCCTGGAATCAAAGGATCTCTGGACCTTATTAAACAACGTTTTGTTTGGCCTTCCATGAATAAAGATGTCAGACTTTGGGCCAAAGCATGTGTAGCTTGCCAAAAATCAAAGGTTTGGAAACATACTACTACTGAGATTGGAGCTTACAACAACATTAATGGACGTTTTTCTCACATTAATGTGGACATAGTTGGACCCTTGCCACCTTCTCAAGGATTTACGTACTTGCTAACTATCTTAGACCGCTTTACACGATGGGTCGAGGCAACTCCTATCAAGGATATTACTGCTGGAACAGACCTGGATTGCTAGATTTGGAGTTCCTCAAAACATTACTACAGATAGAGGAAGACAATTTGACTGCAATTTATTTCAGGAATTAACAAAACATCTCGGTATCCATCACAATAAAACTACAGCGTATCACCCTGAAGCTAATGGAAAGATCGAGAGATGGCACCGACATCTGAAATCTGCATTAACGGCTCAACTTACATCTAACTGGACACAGACGTTACCAATGGTTCTACTGGGACTAAGATCTTATATTATTCCAGAACACAATGTTACTGCTGCAGAAATGACACTAGGTCAGTCCATCAGACTACCATGCAATCTTTTTCAAACCACAGAAGATACCTCAACAAATGTTCCTGATTTAGTGTACAATCTGAAAAGAAAAATTAATGATCTCAAACCAATAGAAGCCAAATACCATTCTTCTAAGAAAGTCTTTGTTCATCCAGAATTAAGAACATCCAACCATGTTTTTGTTCGTCATGATTCATCCCGAAGACCGTTGCAAGCTGTCTATGATGGCCCTTACCAAGTGGTTTCGCGATCTGACAAGTGGTTTAATATTCTTACTCCACGAGGACCTACGTCGATTTCTATTGACCGACTCAAACCGGCATTCCTCCTTCAAGATTCTATGAATGATACGACCATTAACGCAAAAAAAATTACATACAATCTAGAGAAACTCAAGTAGACAAGACCAAGGACAGAAATGAAGATGTTGACCTACAAAAAACACTGATTTTTACAAGATCAGGTCGTAGTGTTCATCCCCCGCATCGTTACGTTCCTCGTTGACACTGGGAGGGGAGTATGTGGCTACATAGTTTTGCCATTAATATGAATCTGCTACTTACTGTCTCAACTGTACTTTGAATGTAAAAATTATCATATGATCAGCTGACTGTTTGGACTGTTTGTAAATGTTATATTTGATTTTGATTGTAGTTCTTTCTTAATACAAAAGTGTTTCAATGTTATAATCTCTTCTTTTAATTAACTTATTTTGTGTTAGTATTTTTATATAAGGCACAAGCCTTAATATCAAAGCCGATTATTGTTGAACTAGCAACAGTGCCCGTTGTGGTTAAATACAACGGTCTCTAGTAAAGTAATGGTTATGAAATCCATACACCACTTTACTCACTAATATTAATGGTCCATATTAAGTACATAACATTAGATAGTTAGATTATTCATAATGGTAAACCAATTATTGCCATCTATAAAAATTATTGGTTTTTCTTTTCCGAGTCGGGTTAGCTCATTTACCCAAGCGATTTTCATAATTTTAGCCTTAAACTAAAGGTATGGACGTACCACAGATTTGCCATTAAGCATCAGTATTCATTTTTTACGTATATTTTGAAAGAATTTAAATTAGATTTTTTTTATTTTTCACTTCATTAAAGTTGTATTCTAGCAGTTCTAATTACATTACCCTATATGTTTTGGTCTAAAAACCTTTAGTGAAATACCAGCTTTCATTTGAGCTATTGATTATTAAGATCGGACTACCTAAAACACACTGCTGAATCATGAATCTACAATAATTACAATCGTTTTAGTACTTATCTGCAATCAATGATACGTAACTCTATTTTTATTTAAGTTATTTTATGTCTTGGTCTTAAAATACTTCATGGGCTTTCACTTGAGATATTGATAGTTTTAAACAGTTAAGTTTAAGATACTGTATCGCTCAATCAGAAAATATAAATTTGATTATATCTTGGATATGGAATTTAGTTTTAGATATAGTTACTTAATTCTAATTACGTTATTTTATTTGTTTTGACCTAAGAACCTTCTGTGAAATACCAGCTTTCATTTGATTTATTGATTATTAAGATCGGACGTACCCAAAGCACACAGCTAAAAAATGACGTACAACACAAATTGCTCAAAAAATGTAGTTATTTATCATTGATTTGTAGTCAAACGATCTTGCTTGCAACCTCAACAGTAACTGTCGACTATGACGGGTTTCACCTTATAAATCTTAAAAAAATCAAACTTTTATGATTATTTGCAAATCTACACAAATTAGGCTTTCCAATGACCTATTAATTAATAAAATCGGTTCAGTAGAACTGGAGATTTAATTGTATAAAGTTTAACAACAACATCTCTAATTCAGTATTTTCTCACCACTATAAATTGGGAGGTTGCTTAACGTTTTTGCAAATAACTTTGAAACGGTGAGGAAATCAACCAAAGTGGAAGGTGATATTCTGAAAGAAAATAAAATTTTCTACAAATTACTATTATGCATTTTTTGAAAATACTCAATAAACCCAGCCTAAAGTTGTCTACAAATATAAACTTGGAAATATAAACTTGGAAAAAAAGGCGTTTTAAATGTAATATTGTTTATTTTTATTGTTTTACCTGAAATATGTAATAAAATCAAACTTTCATAATTATTTGCAAATCTACACAAATTAGGCTTTCCAACGACCTATTAAGTAACAAAATCGGTCCAGTAGAAGTCTAGATTTAGTTGTACAAAGTTTAACAAAAATATATCTAATTCAGTATTTTCTCACTACAATAATTTTGGAGATCACTTAGATTGTTGCCTATAACTTTTAAATGGTGGGTAAATCGACCAACGTGGATGGGATATTCTGAAAGAGAATAAAATTTACTACAAACAACTACTATGCATTTCTTGAAAATGCTTAATAAAGGCAGCCAAAAGCTGGCTACAAATAGAAACTTGAAAACAGAAACTTGAAAAAAGCAGTTTTTAATGTATTTTTGTTATTTTTACTTTTTTACCACAAAGATTTAATAAAATCACACTTTCATAATTATTTGCAAATCTACATGACTTGGGCTTTCCAATGACCCATTAATTAACAAAATCGGTCCAGTAGAAGTCTAGATTTAGTTGTACAAAGTTTAACAAAAATATCCCTAACTCTGTATTTTCTCATTACTATAAATTCAGAGGTTGCTTAGCTTTTTTGCAAATAACTTTTAAATGGTGAGGAAATCGACTAAAGTGGAAGGTGATATTCTGAAAGAGAATAAAATTGCCTACAAATTGATACCATACACTTCTTGGAAACACTAAAAAAGACCGCAAAAAGTCGCACCCAAATAAAAAGTGTGAAAAACACAGTTTTCAATGTATTTCTTATGGAAAACAGGTTTTTTTTTAATTTTTCACCATAAATCATAACAAAAGCAAACTTTCATAATTATTTGCAAATCTACACGACTTAAGCTTTCCAACGACCCATTAATTAATAAAATCGGTCCAGTAGAACTCTAGATTTAGTTGTACAAAGATTTTTAAAACTGAATTATATATAGAATAGATGTGATGCTTGTGAACAAGGGGTTGGTGCAGTGCTGTTACATTTGATGCCGGATGGAACGGAAAGGCCAGTCAAATACGCTTCGAGGACACTAACGGAAGCAGAAAAAAGGTATGCTACAGTTGACAAGGAAGCAACGGCGTTAGTTTTCGCAGTGAAGAAGTTTAGGCAATACCTCAGTGGGAGACATTTCAAGGTGAGGACGGACCACAAGCCACTTGAAAGAATATTCGGAATGCATCGAGATCTTACCAAAGTAGTAAACAACCGTTTGGTTCGTTGGGCTTTGTTTAATGGAGTATGATTTTGAGATCCAGTACATAAAAGGACAGGATAATTGTTTGGCTGATTTTTTTTTCTAGGTTTTCACTCAAGACACAAGAAGTATTAGATCCAGATGAGAGAGAGATTCGAGCATTGGTTCAGGAGAAAATTGACGTAGTTTATCCAAATCATGAACTTGTACTGGAGTATAAGAAAGACCCAAATATGAAGAAACTTATAGACTACTTGGAACATGGTTGGCCAAAAGATACAGGAAACTTGCCACCATCCATGAAACCATATTGGAATAAGAGAGAAGAGCTGACATCAGAAAACGGTATAATCATGCGATTAGGAAGAATTGTGGTGCCACAGATTTTGAGAGAAAATGTATTGAAAGAACTCCACAAAGGACATCCTGGTATAGAGGCTATGAGATCCCTATCAAGGTATTATGTTTGGTGGCCTAATCTGAATAAGGGTGTTGAGATGTATGTCCGTAGATGCCATCCTTTCCAGAGTACCACTCATTTGACACAGGAGTACCTCTATATCCTTGGAATGTGCCAAGTGACCCTTGGGAGCGAATTCATCTCGACTTTGCTGGCCCATTCGACAACCGATTCTGGTTAGTAGGAATCGATGCTTACTCAAAATGGGTTGAGATCGAAGTTATGGACCGTACTACAACTGCTGCTCTTGTAAATAGATTAAGGACTTGGTTTTCGAGGTATGGTATTCCTAAAAAAATTGTATCCGATAATGGCACCCCCTTCACGTCCCATGAGTTCAAGACTTTTTGTAAGAACAATAACATATGCCATGTCACATCGGCGCCGTATCATCCAAAAACCAATGGTTTAGTAGAGAGGATTATTAGAACCTTCAAGAGTCGATACAGTGCTTGCAAACAAGAAGGTCTCAGCTCATCACTTACACTTTTACAAGTGTTGCTTGCTTATCGAAACACCCTACAAAAGACGACAGGACAACCCCCATCAGTCCTTTTCTATGGTAGAAGAATACCAACAGCTTTGGATAGGTGGAGGTGTAATAGCAGAGAGAGAATAGAAAATCAAGTGTGGCGACAGAAGTACTACCACGACTTAAAATCCAAACAAAAGGAGTTTTCTGCCAAACAAGAAGTGTGGGTTCAAAATGAAACGAAGAAGGGAGACCAGGAACAGTACAAGAAAGGACAGGAGAGCTCTCATACACAGTTTTAGTTGGGGGAGAAGTAAAGAGAAAACACGCTGACCAGCTGAGAGCAAGAGAAGGTGCAACTGATCCACCTCAATGGAAAATGCAAACGGAACCTGAAGATAATGAACATAGTTTCGGAAACTCAGCCTAAATTGGGTGGGGAGAAATGTAGGATTATTGTTATCAGCTGAGTTATAAAAGTTATGAATCATCTGCTATTTGGCTTGTTTACATTATTATTTTTTTGTAAATAAATATTTTAATTGAGTTACTTAAAATGAGTTTTCATAATTAATTATTCTTTAGTTTGTCAGCCTCTGTTGCACTGTCAAATTCAGTAAATATTTTTGTTATTATTTTAAGTTTGCTAAAGCTTCTTTCATTCGAAGCCACTGGAACTGGAATTGTCAGGAATATTCGTAAGGCAATATGTTTGGATATACATCCTCCATATTGTTCACACACAAACATCTCAGTATATCAATTGAATTGGCTGTTTGGATATTTGGTACTAAATTCAAACCATGATATTTGAAACTTTCTACTTCGGTTGCCAATTTGTCTCTGTCCAAATCTCAGTTTCTTTGGCATGACTATTATTCAAAACACGAAAATAATATTGCTAGTAACACGCAAAGAAACAGCACCGCAACCACATTTCGTGTCCTGAGTGTGATATAAAATATTCCCAGCTGTTGTTGAACATTGTTATTTTATTTGTTTATGTTGAATGTTTGTAATCATTATTTAATTCTCTAGATTTAACTCTTACTTATGAATTCCATTACTTGAATTGTGTTTAATAAAGCCTACTCATTCAAGGCAAACAATCTTTATTCTTCAACAATTTATTTAACACAGTATCTTCAATCATGGAAAAACAATTTGCTCCAGAAAAACTTTCAATAGATCCAAACTCTTCAACAGCAGAAATGGAATGGGATCATTGGCTCAGGACATTTACAAATTTTACTGAAGTGACAGAAGCAAATGAATCTGAGAAATTGAAACTTCTAATCAACTATGTGGTGCCTTTAGTATATACTTATATCAGTGAATGTTTTAATTTTAAAGATGCAATTGGTAATCTTCAAAATTTATATTGTAAGCCAGTAAACGAAGTATTTGCTCGCCATAAGTTATCTACTCGTCAGCAACAACCAGAAGAATCAGTTGACCAATATCTAGAAGCTTTAAAGATACTCAGCAAACACTGCAATTTTAAAGCTACTTCTGCAGCAGAAAATAGAGATGACTGCATTAGAGATGCATTTGTAAATGGTCTGATTGCTCCACACATTCCCCAGAGACTGCTAGAGAACTTTAAGCTGCCTCTTCAAGATGCTTATGAACAGGCCCGTTGTTTGGAAAGTGCACAACAACAAGCCCTCCTATATCAACCCAGCTCAAATCTCAATTCAGTTTAAAAAAAAGAAAACTCAATCGTTCAAGACGATGATACAAATAATCCAACCATAGCTGCTACTTCTGGGAGTAATAATAGATGTTTCTTCTGTGGATTCAATAGACATCCAAGAAATGAATGTCCCGCAAGAAATTCTTACTGTAAAGGTTGTGGTAAAAAGGGTCACTTTGTTAAGGTATGTAAGTCTTCCTCTCAAATAGATAAATCAAGTTTTGGTCAAAACTCAAAAATTAAACATACAACTTCATCAGTCATAAGCCACATAAGTTGTTCCTCAAGTTATCCCCTAGGTCTTTCAAAAGCTATTGTCCCAGTTAATGTGAATGGTAAAGCAGCTCAAGCCCTAATTGACACTGGTAGTACCACTAGTTTCCTAAGTAGTGACTTAGTAAATCAGCTGAAAATGAAAACCTATCCTTCTAAAATCAGTCAAGTATCAATGGCGGCTTCTGAGTTAACTTCTCAAACTAAAGGTGAATGCAAAGTTAATTTGAAGATTCTTGGTAACTCATACAATAATGTGATTTTGTGCATTTTACCCAACCTCTGTTGTGATTTGATTATAGGTCATGATTTACTCAGTCGTCAATCTAAATTAGAACTCACATTAGGCGGACCCGAATCTCCTCTTGCTATAGTATCTGTAGCTGCTGCAAATGTACCATAAGCTTCACTATTTGAGCATATTTCAAATGATTGTCATCCTATTTCTGTGAAATCTCACCGTCATACAGTAACAGATTATCAGTTTATTTCAGAAGAAATTCGCTCACTGTTGCATGAAGGGGTAATAGAACCAAGTATATCTCCATGGAGAGCTCAAGCTTTTGTTACCAGCTCCGAAAACCATAAGAAGCGTATGGTAATAGACTACTCTAACACTATAAACAGATTTACAAGTATCGATGCTTATCCAATCCCAAATCTTGAAGAAATTGTCAATAAAGTTGCTAACTATGAAGTGTTTAGTGCCATTGATTTAAAAAGCGCTTGCCATCAAATACTGATCAAGGCTGAAGATAAGCCTTTTACAGCTTTTGAAGCATGTGATCAGCTGTATCAATTTACCAGAATTCCTTTTGGGGTGACAAATGGAGTTGCTGCATTCCAGAGAGTTATTGATGGCATAATTAGGGCAGAAAATCTTAATGACACCTTTGCTTATTTAGATGACATAACAGTATGTGGTAAAACCCAAGAGGAGCATGATAGGAACCTAAAAAGGCTGATGAACGCTGCTAGTAAGTATAACTTGACTATTAATGAAAATAAATATTCTTTTTCAATGAAATCTATTAGTCTCCTTGGATATACAATAAGCAACAAAACCATTAAGCCAGATTCTGATCGACTTTTACCTCTAAAGAACTTCCCCTTGCCCACAAACGCATCATCCCTAAGAAGGGCAGTAGGAATGTTTTCCCATTTCTCAAGATATGTCCCACGATTTTCTGAAAAGATTAAAGTTCTGACAACCAGCTCTTTCCCTTTATCCCCGACGGCTATAAATGCATTTAATGAACTGAAACAAGAGATTGAAAATGCCTCAATGAGTCCCATAAATCCTGATCTACCCTTCACTGTTGAGACTGATGCATCTGACACTGTAATAGCAGCAACACTGACCCAGGAAGGAAAACCTGTAGCCTTTTTCTCAAGAGCTCTGTCTCATAGTGAACTAAAGCACAGTTCGGTCGAAAAGGAAGCATATGCAATCGTGGAGTCAGTAATAAAATGGAGACACTATTTGCTAGGCAGACATTTCAAACTAATAACAGACCAGAAGTCTGTCTCTTTCATGTTCAACTCTAAGATATCGGGGAAAATTAAGAATGACAAAATCATGAGGTGGAGACTACAACTATCGAGCTATAGTTATGATATTGTTTATAGACCTGGTAAACTGAATGTAGCTGCTGACTCTCTATCACGAGTGTGCTCCATGAGCGACAAAATGAACAGACTTCATCAATATCATGAAAGAATGTGTCATCCTGGTGAAACTCGTATGTATCATTGGATCATAAGCAAAAATTTACCATACTCCCTTGATGAGGTAAGAAGAATGACTGCTTCCTGTAAGGTATGTTCTGAAGTAAAACCAAGATTCTTCAAACATGATGGAAAATTAATAAAAGCAACATCACCGTTCGAGCGTCTTAGTCTGGATTTTAAGGGTCTCCAAGGTCCAGAACCTGGTCTCCAGAAAACTGGTCTCCAGTTTTCTCCAAGGTTTATGAAAAATTAATCTGTAATAGACTAGTATCATATCTTGAAACCATCAACATTCCTTGTAGTAATCAGTTTGGATTTAAAAAGGGTTGTAACACATCAGATGCTCTCTTTGAGGTCTCAAATTACATAGCAAGTGCCGTTGATGGATCACAGTATGCCATTGGCACCTTCTGTGATTTGTCAAGGGCATTTGACTGTGTCAAATACAATATTTTATTGCACAATCTTAAGTTTTATGGAATTAGACGAAAAGCTTATGATTTGGTGCAGTCCTACTTGTTGGGTAGAAAACAAAAAGTTCAACTGAATTACTCTAACTATTCAAGCTTCAAAAATTTCACTGAAGGTGTTCCCCAGGGTTCAATAATGGGTCCGTTGTTGTTTCTTATTTATGTTGATGACCTCTTGAAACAAAATCTTAAGTCAAAATTGGTAATGTATGCTGATGATACCACTGCAGTATTAAAAAATAAAAACCCTGACATATTAAAAATTGAAATTAACAATGATTTTGATCTTATGACTGAATGGTTTCTGGCCAATAATCTTAAACTTAACAGAAATAAAACATATTGTGTGAACTTCCATTCTAATAGCATAAAAAGTAGACGGATTGACTATAACCCGTTAGAAGGCACATTAAGTAAAATTCAATCTTGCAACCTTTTAGGAATAAAATTAGACTCAACTCTAACATGGTCTGATCATATAAATCAATTGGAATCAAAGCTTAATACAGCATTTCACGTTACTTTAGTGCTTTCAAAATTAATAGATGAAAAACTCAGATAATGGTATACTTTGCATATGTGCACTCTAACATTGGCTATGGTATTGAGTTCTGGGGAAATGCCACTGATAGTAAAAAAATATTTAAAATACAAAAGAGAATTATAAGAGTTATTGCACAAGTTAATCCAAGAACATCTTGTAGAAATTTGTTTAAAAGAATGAAGATTTTACATGTGCCCTCTTTGTATATATTGAACACTTTAATCTTTGTCAAAAAACATTTTTCTATTTATGAAGAAAAAAGAACTAACTCCCAATACAGCTTTAGGCCCTTGAGCTCTGTGTTGCAGTACCCCATACATAAATCTGCTGCTTATGAAAAGAGTACTTTTTATATGGGTCTCAAACTGTATAATAAGCTTCCTCTATCACTTAGAGAGGAGGAATCATTTAAAAAGTTCCGGTTACACTTACTGTCTTACCTGTTAGACAATTGTTTTTACAGAATTGAGGATTTTTTATCAGTCTGATTGTAGTAGACATAGGCCTAACTTATTTGTAAACTTTGCTAATAACCTAATAGTACACAATGTATATTTTGACAATTTACTGTACCTGCCTGCGTGCAGA